TAATCTCTAATTAATATTATGTAATTTTTAAAAGTGCATCACACTTTTTTTTCTACAAAGATTCATCAATAAAACTTTTACAGAAATGATGGTTTAGTCAGCGACAAATTCAACACTATTAATAAGAGTTTAATTGTCTGGAAATAACAATAAAGATTAATAATTACTTAAAAGCTAAAGCTTATTTTTTTAAAAAAATTTAAATACATAACTCGTGTGATTATTATATAAATTTTTCACTCGCAACATTTAAATTCGTATCTCAAACGTGCCGTGCGAGTAAATTGAAATGTACTTTTTTTTTCTTTTTTTACGTACCTTTGTTTTTATTTATTTTTTCAAGTAGATGAATATTATAGAAACAGAAATAAGGATACACTAGTTTCAGGGGGAATTCAATTCCCAATTTTCCATCATGTCTGCACTATAATACAACAGTAAAAACACAGAGAGGTAAACATCAAAAATAAACCAGATCAGATCAGCAGAGAGATGACGACCCCATCTCAGGAGGAGGCGTACGTGGTCCATCAGAAAAGTTCACCCAAGTTGCAAACCTTTAAGGACTGCAGATCGAATCTCCTTTCTCCAAAAGTTGGATAATATTTTCACAAAAATGAAAAATGCATGGTCCACGGAGCGAACTCGATTGAACGATGCAGAAGTGATCAGGGGTTTTTTTTTTTTTCCTTTTAACAAGGTATTATGCGATGTTGAACTCAATTATAAAAAAAATGAAGGAATTACACCTTAATAAGATTAAGAACGAAAAGAATCATTTGATTCAACGAGTTCAGGTGTGATGTAGAAATGATAGGCTAACTTAAAATATTCTTAAAATGTGGATAAACTAACCTCAAAACAATAAAGTACCAAGGAAAAGTAGTAGATGCTCAGCTTCCAACAATCATTCTGAGGGTGAAGGTACATCACACGCTCCATAACCTATGGTTCTCGAAGTTTTTAATATGACCAACTCTTCCTATTAGGATTTAGGAAAGAAAAAAGGTTTATTTAAGTCCCAAAATTCTACTATTTGTTAGTGTCATATTTTAAATTGTTGCATTAAATTAAATTATACTAATTTTTAAATAGAGCCACATTACTTTAAAAAAAAAAAATACAAGATATCATTTCATAAAAAAGTAGTTATATAGCTAGAATTCTGATTTAAATTCAAAACTGATAGATTAATGGCAGTAGCCCACCCACTAATTGTACTCCAACCAAGAAAATTGATTAAGTTACTAACAGATCTGGGATGTGGAGTAAATCTTAAATTGCCAACTAAAAAATTTTAAACTTATGCAATTGCCAAATAGATACTTAACAAAGAAAAAAAATCAAAGGAAAATTTTGTACCATTCCTAACAAGATATAATCTGGTTTAATGTGTTTGCCTCAAGATGGAACACACATTGAATGGTAATGTTTGGTTGGGAATAACAAATCAAAATGGAGAATACATTCTCTAGCTTGAGGCTTCCGATATACCCAAAAAATAAAGGGGAAGGGGGGGTACAACACAATACCTTGATAGATAGATGGGCAGCTCTCAATAAATAGATACAGTGGCAGACACAAGAAACTTTTTGTGAAGCATGAAGATCCAGAATTAGCAGCCATTACGCAAGACCAGAGGATGTTTTCCTTGTGGCCATCAACCAGATCATGTGGAAAAAGATTAAAAGAACATGAGTCCCCATTTCTTCAACTGATGGCATACCCTATGTCAACCGATTTCATTACTAAATGTTTATCAGAAATATTCTACCAGATGCTCTTCCATTTCAAGTGGAAACAATCAGAAAGATCTGAAATAAAGCCAATAGGCAAAACCAGAGGATGTTGTTTTTCACAATTCAGACCTCCATCCTCTTTTTCCTTTTACAGCTGAAAATTCATATCAAGAGCTCTCAAACTAATCTAAGCCTCATACACAGCAAACATCATTAAAAGACAGCCTCATGCAGATTTGAAAGCATTTCTCTATCATTTAGTTTAGCAAACAAGAAACAACATATGTACCAGGAGCAAAACCAACCAACAGGATGGATGGACTGCCTGTAGTGAAGCTGAATGAGAAGTGCGTAGTCCAACAAAAAATCTGCAGCTGTCTACTGATGGATCAACGGTTGTGATCAGACCCAGTCCACCAAAATCACAGCTATCTGACCTCTGATCATGCTGCTGATAGTAGCTATTAAAAGCATATGATATATTTCCAGGCCAACTAATATTGGAACAGGAACCACCAGGGGATAGTGCAGTACAATCTGATACAGAACATGCCTCTAAAGCACTTGCAGTTGCATTAGACAAGTCTTTGTTATTGTTTACAACACACCACTTGGAAGGAAGATATTCCACATTTTGTGCATTGACAAGGTCTTTTGAACTCTGAATGATATTAGCATGGTACTTGGCTTGGCCATCAAATGTGAATACCCCCCAATGTCTCTCAAAGTTTCCAGAGGTTATGCTTCTTTGATCCTCATCTAAGAGGCTTAAAATGTATGTTTCCGTTGGTGGATTCCGAGGCCTGAGTGGGGTCCCTGTCTTACCATGAAGGTGATCTATAAGAGCTTTTATAAAGGTCTGTGCAACAGCAGAGGTGGCATTGGCTGCTCCATCTGTAGGCCAACCAATTGCCGCAACAACAATGTCCATTTCTGAGAACCCAACTGTTGACAATGCAGTGACCAGTGTATCATAGCTCAAGTCAAAGCTGTTCTTGTATATTCTGCGGCTGTCATTGTGAGGGTGAGCACTTTCTTTGAAAAGGATGAAGTCAAGGGACACGTTCTTGTTTTCTTGGAAAGTTGTAAATGGAGAGATAGTCACAAAGAAAGGTGCATGCTGCTTGCTGAGAAACGTGAGGAGTTCAACCATGGTTCTATTCAGGTCAGTCCTGAAGTGCCCTTTTGAGGGCAGGTTAGATTCTGATACAAAGGTATCAAAACTACATGGAACAACAACTTTCACCTCATCTCCCAAGTTTGCCCTTGCTAAAGCTGTATGAATATTCATGGCTGCTCCAATTACAAAGCCATGGAACTGCTCTCCATAACTTCGGTGAAACGGTTCATCTCCAACAGCAACATATCTGAAAATTTTCTTGTCAGCACTGCATGTCAAATGAATTAATATTTAAAGCAAAATTTAATTAATTAATTAAAATCCATTTCATTACAGCAAATATGATCAAATTAAAAGAACATAACTACATTAGACTTTTAGGTTTAGTGGTGTCTATGAGTTATAGAATGTTTGAGTAGAGGGGAACAGAGGGGAGAGGAGGGGAGGGGAAGAAAGCCCTTTGCTTTATTTTTTTCTTTTAATTCATTTACTGATGCAAATGAGATCCTTCCATTCCCCTCAACCCAAACATATTGTTAATTAATTTCTGACTCAGCCTTGCATTACCAACTATGCCTCCCCCACCAATAGGGGAAATCCCATCTTGCAATGTAATTGACTAATAAAACTGCAGTTGGATACTTGAATTCGTTTGTGAGAGCTAGTGACCATTAAATTAAAAAAGTTTGTCTTAAGTAGATGAGAGTTTCACAAAACCAACCTATCACCAGAGAATGCCAGTACCCTACAAGAGAAAGACCACAAGTCCGCAACTTAGTTTATCTGCTGGGCAAAGCTGCAAAAGTCTTTAGCATTCATCTCTCAAGAACAAAGCCTCTGAAGCTACCAAATGATTGTTCTCCTAACATGCAAACACCTATACCGGATCCTGGTAGGTCCATGTGTTTAGAATTCAATAACAGATTTCATGCATGTTCAAGGAAGCAAGAATGTGATTATTCAGTTATCTGCACATTCTTTGCACTTCATTGTACATAAAAGGTGGCAAAAGAATACTTTGAAAAAAATTAATTTCATGGCTAATAAACACATCTTCTATATATATATATATATATATATAGATTTTATATCCAATCCTCTAACACTCCAAACATGTAACAAAACTATTAAATTGTCTAACCTAGTCCAATCCAATTCAATCTTATTATTTATATCTTATCTAGTCATATCCAATCCTCTATTCCAAACATGCTCTTAAGGTCTAACGAGGAAGATTGAAAGAAACGACAAACAAGAAAATTACATAAACAGATATTCACACAGTAACTTAACCACTGACCTCATGTGAAATTCACTTTGATAGACTATATTCAAACTTTACCAACCCCTTCCCCATTTCCTATCCCCTTCCTCCTAGTTGTAACAAATTGTCTATGTTTCGAAAAAAAAGAAAAAAAAAAAAAAACATAAACAATCATTAGCCAAACAGCTAATTGCTAACCCAAACATACATGAACACATCTAGAAGGTAAGAGCCTCATCTCTACTCATGTCCTCACAACTGGAAGCAGATGCCTCTTCTCCGGAAAGAAGACTTGATTCAAAACTGTTCTCCCCCAAACTCGAGGCATAACTGGTACCATAAAAAAAGGTGATTTTAAAACACTTTAGGTTTTAAACGGATCACTAGTACAACAGCTCAGGGCTAAACAACTACGTAACTTTGAGAGGAACGCCACCTGCAAACTCTAACATCTTTGAATTGAGGGAAATGAGGGGAAAGGATGAGAACATATTTTCCTCCAACTAAATGAAGGACAGGAGAACAAACCTTTATTTAGTTGGGTGAAAATATCTCTTTCACTTATTTCTCTCCAACCCAAACATGGGATAAATCTTTCACCACCCAACAAAAGTTCTCCAGTATGTTTAGGTTGAGAGAAATAGAGGAGAGGAGACCTTTAAAACAAAAAATAAAGCAAAGAACTTCCTTCCCCTCCCCCCCAGTTATTTTGATAACCAAATAAAAGAATATTTTCCCCTACCCACCTCTCCCCACCATTCCCCTCAACCCAAACATATTGTTAATGAACTCCAAGACTCATACTATGCCAGAAATGCAAAATCTAAGGACAGATGTCTCAACAAATTTATCACTTCATGATTAATTATCTGCTGAAACAAACATCCATGATAATGATGATAGATATATCAGGACATCCATTGTGTATCATTCACAGGCTTGTTCCACCAAATGGTGTTAATGATGAAATTTAAGCAAATACAAATCCAGCACCATAGGTCAATTTCCAAACAGGAGAAATGTGTGATTAAGGAGAGGCACTCACCTGAAAATATCAACCTACCTTAGCAGCAAGCAATTTGGAGTTAATCCACTAGCCTCTATAAAAAGATTCACACAATAAGATCAATCCAACGCCTAAGATAATATCCCTCTAGCTAACCATTGAGGAGAAAGGAGAAAAAGCGATAGTGCCCAAACAAGTGAACAACCTACCTCTTAGTCTACTGTTCAAGAACAAGCTGCCAATGGAACATACAACTAAAACCCATAGATCCCAAATCTTAGTACATAAAATGCTTGGAGCCAAAAGTCTCAATATGGACGTGCACGGTTCCCCCCATAGTGATTTCTTTCTGGCCCAGAACCCCCATCTCTATAACCATCACGGCGCCGATCACCACCACCTCCATAACCACCTTTCCCACCACCTCTGTTACATAACAAATCAGTCAATTAGGCAACTTTGTCAAAGCAACTCAATGCAATGGGGATTAAAAGAAAATTTTGAGCCACTGCAACAGCAAAAAGTACTCTAACTCAGGGTTAAAAATATTACCCATGGTCATATGCTTTTGGTGCAGTCTTCTGCGCCATGGTGACACTGATTGTATGGCCTCTCATAACATGATCTGAAAAAATTATCCATAAGCAAGATTCACATTTCAAGAAAGATTTACTTATCTAAATAAAGTTTGCTAGTGAATACTGTTAAAGAAACCGCCAGCAGAATGAGCAGCTTGAGGGTCTTCATAAGATAAAACTGCATCGCCTTTCTGATTCCCCTTCTCATCTGTGTATATTTTAATATTCCATGGCCATTGATCTTTATAACCACGCTTCTGCTTGATTCTTCCAACCTAAATAAGCAACGAATTATTATCAGCCCGGTCAAAAGATCTCACCACAGAGAAATAAGATTGAACAAAGAAAACGATATATATTTTAAAGAACAATTCCCTGAGGCAGTAGACAAATGTTCTGTAAATAAAATGGAAACAGTAATATTGAAGTAAATTTCCATGTGATATTATACTTATTCAAAAGGAAGATTCAGGTATTACTTGTCCAATGCCGCCAAACAGTTCTCTTAGTTCTTCTGCAGTCACTTCTGGTGGCAAATTTGATATGTATATTCTTGTGTTATCACAAGAGTCTCCACAGTTGTCATCACACTGCTTGATCATAGGGGCTTCAACAGGAGGGCCACCATAACCCCCTCCCTGATGTCGAGGGCCACCAGCAACATACCGACCTTCATATCCACCCGCAGGGCCAGACTGGCTATCACCATAACCACCCACAGAACCACCATAAGATGGGGGGTATGACGTGGGTCCAGCAGCATAGCTTGTGGGAGGAGGAACTGCATCCATTCCATAATTTGCATTCCCACCATAAGCATTAGGAGGAGGTGGATAATTGCCACCACCAGTACCACCATAAGATGGAGGTGCAGGAGGAGGAACTTGACCATATCCCCCATCTTCTCTTCCCTGACTACCTCCATGAGATCTGCCTCCACTCCTATTATCATAATTTCCACCCCTACCTCCATCATAATTATTATTCCTACTACTATCATAGCTGCCACCTCTACCTGCATCTCCCCTACCACCACGATTACCACCATACCCTCCACCACTTCCTCCCCTGTTATAACCACCACCACGATCACCAGCACCCGCAGGAGAGGGTGCACCACATTTGTTACACTCAACCCTTCTTGCAAAGTTCATGTTTCCACAACTACATACAGATATACCAGTTTCAATAACATATCTTTGCACGTGTAGATGATCAACTAAAAAGAAGATTTGCCCATATATATGTAAAATAAAATCCCACCAAAACATTCAAACTATTGTAGCTTGACAAGTAATAAAGTACACAGTGACTCTTCATTAAGGGGATGCGATCAAAAGAGATAGAAGATATTTACCTAGGATTCGGGCAAAGCCAATCACCATCTCTGCCACTGCCACCGCGTCCCCCACCTCTTCCGCCGCCAAAGCCGCCTCTCCCACCACTGCGATCTCCTCCTTGATACCCTCCCCCGCCTCCTGCATAAATCGATCCAACTAGTTACGAAAAACGGAAGACAAATTACATCTAGTGAAATCTACAAGAAAGCTAAAACAACTGATATCAGTAACCCTATCCATACAAATCTACACAAGAAATCTATCAATAACAAAAATAGCACCTCGATTTTGAGAATTCCCACCTCCTCCACCAGCACCACCTCCTCTGCCGCCGGCCCGGCCTCCGTAACCTCCACCGCGGCCACCACCATAACCGCCTCCGCCTCCATCTCCACCTCCTTCGCCACCACCTCCGCCACCTTCGTATCCTCCACTACCACCGGGGTATGACGGCGGAGCACCATCCCCTACTTCCTGACCGTACATCCCAGCCATGACCTAGGTTTCGTCAAGTATTCAAGATCGAGAGAGAATAGGCTTAGGTTGTTTGATGCGGCTGTAAAATACCTTTTTACAGGATTGGCTTTGATTACACCGAAAATTTTTTTTTTTTTCAGTCCGACCGGCACTTAAAATTATCAGTCCATGTGTTGAAAAGACAAAAATATTAGTAGGGAATATTTGTTTTGGTTTTTTACCAATACCCATCAATTATTTTTTAAATTAAAATTAAAAAATATTTTAGATTTTAAATAATTATAAATCATCAAATATTAACTATTAATTTATTAACTGATTCAGAAA